CCTCAATTGTATTAAGCCGAGCCCTATCTGGCCGTGCAACACTCACAGTGTCACATACTGTACTGTATGCAGAAGTATTATTTTAAGCAAGACATTAAGTTGACGAAACACTCGTGTCTTAGACGGGGCAGTGATATCATAAACCTGTTAATGTACGCATTCAAACACTTTTTCTGTTACCAGCTGTATTCACCTTGCAGGTGCAGCTATGTGGCTTTTATCCTGGATACAGTGTTTAAGTCATGGATGTTTAAAGTTTAACTTCTTCATATTTGACTAATATTATAGTTTTCTTTTCATTCAGGAAGTATGACGCGCTGCGCTGTCAGTACGCTTGTCCATGTGATTGGTCAAATGTTGCTAGCCCCGCCCCTTTCATGTCGTCGTAGGACCGCTTAGCGAGAGCGCGTTTGTTTTGGATTAGGTAAACCGGGTAACTCAATATCCAGGGTATGTTCTACTGGATTCGTAGTACAGGCCTCTGGAGGGGACTTGCGTTTGGTATAGTATGTATTTTTATTCTTGTGTTTCTATAAAAAGAGAAAACTAAGATGCTTTTTCAGTTAAAACTAACTTAATAAATCAGATACATTTTGTCAACGATACAATTTGAGCTGAATTGTGATTTTTTTATTGTAGCTTTTTTGTTATTTTTTTTGCATATTGTTGTTTTTATTTGTGTTCTTCTAAAGTAAGTATCATGTACTTAAAAAAACCTCATTGAGATGTGTGAATTAATTCAGAGTTCTGGAGACAGTTTACTCTCATCTCTTTTGGGAAAGTGGGATTTGTTTTTGATCGATGGTAATAGAAATACAATAACAGGATTTTAACTGTGAAATCAGTGAGAGTAAACCCACATGGGATCTGAAAGCAGACATTAAAGAGAACTCACCTGCAGTTTTCCCCAAAGGCGACATTTACTGCAGCCGACGCAGTCCATGATCCTGGAGATGTTTTTAAAGTGGAGGCGAAACTCCTCCTGAAGGATGGAAGAGAGGAGAGGTTTAGAGTCGATTTGAAAGAAATTGTAAAGAACGTTCAGACATTTTTTTGTTAAACGTGGTGTTGCTGATGAGCTCAATTACATATATTAAAGATTTTTTTAATTTAACGATTCCACAGACACATACAAATAAAACAAACAGTTGGACTTCTGGCTTTGACTGCTAATTATACCAAGAGCAAACACACCTGCCCTGTCAAACAATGGTAACAATGGACACACGAGATGAGATATTGGTTTAGATTTTGGATTCACCTACCTTTAATATTTTGGCTTCAATCTTTTGTCCGGCGAACATGGACTTCTCATCAAAGTGCATTGGGAAAGTTCTGCAAAACAAAGGAAGCCGTTAGTCTTATAACAACGACTGATATTATAATTAACCTACATAGCGTGTGCCATAATGGATCCCCTGTCTTTTAACTGCAAACCAAATACGGGTAAAAAAAAAAAACCTGAACTCAGAGTTAATGTTTAATAAATATATTATTCTGTTAAGATATACTTTTACATTTTAGCCAAAGTTTAAGTAGGGAATTTAGTTTTTAAAAACCTTGAGGCTGAAAGGACCCAACACAATGAAAATTGCACTTTGGTAAAAAAAAGGTTTTGAGGATGTGATGTTTTCAGGTAAATCAACAGGTGAACACTTGGGTTACTTTCATCAAAATGTAAACTATTTCAACACCAGTGTGAACTTGCATTTATTTGATTGGACGGTGCAGAGAGCCAGCGCTGCAGGAGGATGTTGTAGCAAACCCAGGTTCAACTTAAGGTTGTAAAAAAAAAAAAAAAAATGTCTCTGACAAAAGTTTGTTTTGCTGCAGCCTCCTTCTTCTTCCACACAGTTCATAAGTATCAGTCCAAGTACAACTTCATATCAATCTATCCAAAAGTTTTCAGTCAAGACCAACCAACTGACGGTCGGCAGAATCTAGATTTGTTTGCAAGTGTTGGTTGTGCTGTTTTATTTTGTATTTGTTATTACTGCCGAATTGTATTCCATGTAATTACTGCAATATTTTACTATATTTTTTTATTATTTCTAAAAAAAAATGTATGTAATTTTGTATGTATGCACCACCACATCAAATCAAATTCCTCATACGTGTAAACCTACCTGGTGATAAACCTGTTTCTGATTCTGATTGATGAAAGTGAATAACATCCCCTCTTACTTGATCTCATCGAAGAACTGCAGCAGCAGCTCCTTGGTGTTTCCGTCCTCCTGCCGGTTCCCGGTGTAGAGGTTGACGAACGCTCTCTCGAAGTACGGAGAAACCTTAGAGAGCGCGCGCAGCTCGATGAGGTACAGGAAGTAGAGGTTCTTCAGCCGCCGCGTGCCCTCGCCCTTCGTCTCCGCCGTGTCGAAGCGCTGACGAAACTCCTGAACGTTCGGACCCCAAATCGACCGGCCCCAACCCTCTGAGGAACCAAACACACAAACACAACTTTTACTACACGATACAACACGCAACCGTTTGTTTAACACACTGAAGCCCAGAAACAAAAGTAAAAATATGTTAAACTGTAACCAAGTTATTTTAAAAAGGTATAAGTCGGGCATTTTATCTTTATCTAGCAGCTCTTTTCTGACAAATATTATCTTTATTTCAGCATTCTTGAACATTTGTTACTGTGAAAATTATGTTGTTAGACCTGTTTAAAATATTTACAACGTTTTGCTTTTGTAACGTTACCTTTAAGTTATTCATCCCTTTTGACATTTATCTTAAAACTGCAGAAGAAAAACCTTGAAACCGAGTCAGGCCCACTGCAGCTGTTTGGACAACATTTAACATTGAGAAGTTTTCCTTCATTTGTTTATTTTATTTATGTATTTGTTTCTCTGGCAGGGACATTGCACATTAATAAACACTTAAAACATGAAATAGGCCAAGCGTAAATATGCCGGATTTAGCTTTGAGCTACTTTCCACCCGCAGCCCCTCACATAGAACATTAAGAAAACGAAAATTACAAACATAGCCGTACAAATATATAAAATGCAAGAAAAGTGCAAGAGTAAGAGAAGAATACCTAAGTATTTAGGACATGGAAATACATTTACAGAAGATGTTCTCCAAAAAATAATTTATATGCCTTAAAGTAAGGTATTAATATGATTTTGTAGGTAGATATTCAGGCATCATATGAGGAAATGTATATACACTTAAAGGTGGGGTAGGTAAGTTTGAGAAACCGGCTCGAGATATACACTTGTTATATTCCATGGAATGCTCTTAACATCCCGATAGCAATGAATATCTGAAGTGCTTTGACAAAAAAATCCATACAATATGTAATCTGTGGAAGCCCTAATACTCTAAAAAGCACGACCAATCATCTGAGCCGGCCCGGCTAAAGTAACTGGATGGCCTACCTGCCTGTCAGCCTTGTTGCACAAACTTATCTCGTGCCCTCATTGGTCATGTGCGCATTCGTGTGTGTTGGAGGAGGGGCTCTGTGAGGAAGTGGCAGATTTTCTCCGGTTGTGTATTTTCAAATTCTAGCGCACTCGAGCTGGTTTCTCCAAAATTACCTACCCCACCTTTAACAAAAACCTAACTATAAGCTTTCTTTTTTCCTTTAAAATAATAATCACAAGAATTGATACACAGTCTGGTGCAGCCTGTAGTCGTAATGAAACCCAGCTGACCTCAGTTCTGGTTTCACGTTGAATTAAGACTGAGTTAGCTTTGGTGTCACAGGGGTCAAATTAAGATAACGCTTAAAGCTGTAGTGAGATCAGTCGTACCGTCCAGCAGGTACTCGGCACACAGGTGGATGTTGATGCTGCTGTGGAGGCCCGAGATCAGCCGGTAGAAAACTCTCTTCTCTAAACACAACCCTGAAAAGGAGAGGGAGAGAAAGAAGTGAGGAGGACATGTTTTTATGTTCTAAAGCTAAGTATTATACTAAGAAATCAAGAGGAACGTATCTCTACAGATAAGATGTTATTTGTCCATATTTATAGACTTCAGTTTTTGAATTTGACATTTCTCTCTGCTACTATTGTAATGGAGGTGAAATTAATATCATTAAAATGCTTCTTCATTCCAAACACTTTATATTTGTTTTAACATGAACAGATAGGAAAAAAAGCAAGGAAATTAAAATGTTTAAGATACAAAATAAAACAAATGTTCTGCAATTTTGGGATGAAAAATGACTTAATCCATAAATGCTTCCACATGTGTTTCAGTCGATCAGATAAGCAATCAGTCAGCTAATTGTTGCAGCTCTACATGTGTGTGATTCACATTTGACATCCAACTAATCCAACTCCGACTCAGTGTTTCTGCCAGACCAGGGCTGAGAGGGCGTCCACCCCGAGAGCGGGGAGGGTGGGGGGGTTGTGACGTCACGTTGTGTCACGTGACTTGAATTTTGAATTGAGCCGTCCCTTATAGATACTATCTCTTTACGCATTAGTGATGGGAATTCCAGCTCTTTTTAGTTTAACACGGAGCCACCGCTGCGAAGCTCTGGCGCTCACAGTTCACGCGCGTGCTCCACTAGCACCCCCCCGTCAAGGCCATGGTCAAGCCTCGCCGGCAGAACACTTTCCGTCACGCTTTGCTGGCAGCGAAAAGAAGCCCACCAGACTCCTTTGCCCCTCCAACAGAGGGATGTCCTCGTCCTTCTTCCTTCTGTCCTTTTACATCTCTTTGTGAAAGCTTTTTCATACTTATCACAATCTGACAAATCACTATTAATTGAAGTTCATTCAAATGAAACGAAATGTAAAAATGCTTCACGTGTCAAATCCTTACATCCCGTGAGCTTGTTCTAGGTCAAGAGCTGCAGGAAGCAACGTTTTTAAAAGGAAGTATGACGTTGTTTGTGAACTCAAACATAAAGGGAGATGTCACAGAACATTTCCTCTGGGGAAGAAAAAGATCAAACAAGAGGAAGTTCTCACCTTCGAGCCACGTGTAGAAACCCTCTCCTGCAATGTGAGCGAGATAAAAGAAAAACTTCATCAGGTGCTTTTATGAAAAAACTCAAATAGATTCACATGACGACAGTTCAGTTTTACTCACCATCGTCGTCTCCTGAACAAAGACAGAGAAGAAGAAAAGGAGAGAACAAAGCTGAGTAAGATATCTTCTATTAATAAACACCTCTGCAACATTACAAACAGATAAACAGGCGATCTCAGGAAAAGATGCGCACATTAAGGTGTGCGTGAGAAGTCTCAGCTGCAGGCTCACGTGGGGTTTCTACAGAAATGTCTTTTAGGAATGAAAAAAAAAATACAAATCTAAATATGTAAATGATTATTTGACTTGTTTATGCTGATCAGAGGCAGATTTAAATACAGTATCGACGGTTTGTCATTAGACTTGTGGTAGGGGTATTAATCCAGGGTATATGCAGGAATCCTGAAGTCAAATGTAAAACCTTTTTTAAGACCCTTTCCATACATTTTAAGACCTCCAAATTTAATACCTTTTTAGACCTTTTTTAAGACCCTTTCCATACATTTTAAGACCTCATCGCCACTTTGAGTTCTAACCGGTTACCTTGGCGACACACTTTACCTCACATTTACTATATACAGTATTGATTGTCCTTCCTCCTTATCTTCCAACCATTTGGACACAGACTTGCATTTCCCCATAACGATGTTGTTTAACAACCGGCGTAAACGGACCTTCGCCCGCTATCAAGCAGTGAGCGTGCGATGTCCTGTTCAGATGACGTCAGATCCAACGGGATGCCATAAATAAACTACACAGAATCACACTACACACCTACGCAATGATTACATTCAGGCACACTGTAGAATCCAACCTCTTTGGACAATTTATACTTATTGAAAACAAGCTACAAAATGTAATACCTTGGAAAATGCAGTTTAACACTTTTTAATAGCCTTAATTTTCGCTAAATTGATTTATCAACTTTGAAGACTTTTTAAGACCCCGCAGACACCCTGTAATATTAAATAATATAATACTGGATGTAATGTAATGGCTGTTTAACTGATTGCAAAAGTGATCAAAAATAAGTGAATTTATTGCATTTACTTGGAAGATTTTCATTATTTTGCAAGTAATTCATTATTTAGCACCATTTGCAATATAATTATGTCGTCTTTTAGGAATAAACATGTCACTATGTTGTATTTGTACAATCAGGAATATAACTGGATGCCCCATTCGACTTACAAACATAGATTCCAAAAGATAAGCCATTTTCATTTTGGTGAAAGACCTCTAAGACCTATTGGTACATTGTGTTTAAAGTAATGGGTCAAATGTGCTGTCTCACGTGAGGCATTATGGGTAAAGATGTGGATTATAGATATCTATAAACCACTTCTCTCTCATATCTCAGACAACAAGCTGAGGTTTCCATTTTCACTTCCTTCCCGTCACATTGAACATCCTTTAAAGCTTTTAGACACTTATATGGATGTGTTATCAACCAAAGATTGTTGGCACTTAACCCTTTTAAAAAACACATTTTACTTACTGTAATAGGGATTATTATAATTCGGATAATAATGCATAAAAAAAATAACAGCCTTGAGTAAAGAGAACCATAACTTTGCAATATCCTAATTTGAGGCCTATCAGATTGGATGAGTTTTATTTAACAAGAGAAGCCAACTTTCTGTCAAATATTGTTTAAAATTGCAGCTGAGCAAAAATGAACCTTAAATATAATGAAATATAACGAAAAACCTGAACGCAGCATAACCAATTAAATAAGTGCATAATATCGAATATGACATTTGATACTAGAGTTCAGTGATAGCACACATGATAACAAGATGTTCTATTTAAGCAAAAGCCTGGGTTTTAGTTTGTTGAAACAGCAGCTGATGAAACAGATATTGATTCGTCTCTGACTCACCTCTGCTCGGAGCCAGAGGGTTCAGAGGTCGGTACACCGATCTGGGTCTGAAGACAGAACACACACTTTTATTAATCATCACAGAGGAGGATTTCCAACAGCTTTTAAATGTGGACATGTCTAAACTAAAGAAAAAAAGAGAGAACAGAAATCACTTTTTCTTAGACGCTCTATAAAAATGTATTTTAGTTTCAGTCCGTACATAACCAGTTCATTCTTACTGTAGAGTGTGAGAGTGTGTGTGTGTGTGTGTGTGTGTGTGTGTGTGTGTGTGTGTGTGTGTGTGTGTGTGTGTGTGTGTGTGTGTGTGTGTGTGTGTGTCTCACTTGAAGCAGTTTTCCTCGTAGATGCTGTTCCAGACTCTCCAGGCTGAAGGTCCTTTGTATCCGGTGTATCGCTCCGGATTCAGCAGCAGATCCACGTACTCAGAGTCTGGAGCGGTTTCATCTCACACACACACAAAACACACACACAACATATTAGACTTCAAACAACGGAGAGCATGATGACACATAAGCGAGCGTGTTGTGTAAACATGGTCAGAGCCTCTGGCTCCACAAACATACAGTGTTGAACAGAAACAACCCCATCCTGATGCATGTCTTCTTTACCATTACATCTTTCTGTGAACAAGTGGAACATTTGTTGTGAGGGTTGGTGTTCCATTAAAGGTCAGTAGGTGAAAAAGCAGGAATATCTAGAACATGTCATGGTTCCTGTAGTTCAGATAGGTCTGAGGTCTGAATGCTCACCATCGAGCTCACAGAAGTGATCCTGAGCATCGTCGTGTTTCTCCCAGTTAACGAACGCCTCTTTGCTCTGGTTACTGAAACAGGAAGTCATAGATATTTACATTAATCACAGAGGAGAAACTATCACAACATTTTAAGAAACAGAAACAACTTTAAAAGTCACTTTCTGTTATTAATATCTGAGATTTTCAGACACTCTCACCTTTTTTTAAGACTGTTTGAATAATGACTCATGACTGAGATCTGATCTATTGCATATATTTAATGTTTACAAAATTGTGCATTTAGACCAGGGGTGTCAAACTCAAGGCCCGGGGGCCAAATCCGGCCCGCGACTTCATTTCATGTGGCCCCGCAAGATTACGGTTACATGCCACTTTACAGAAGCAGGTTACCCATACACTACATGTCCCACAATGCATCTCGTTTTGTGACATGCACACTGAAGAGACTTGCAATTATTTGCCCTGGACTTCTGCTTTCAGACGTAGTTAATTACGAAGTTATTACCCCATCCGATAATAATCAAATTCAGAGGCAATAATGTAATATAATACATTATATATTTATATAGTTACAACCGGCCCTTTGAGTGCAACCATAATGTTAATGTGGCCTGCGATGAAATTGAGTTTGACATCCCTGATTTAAACTTTATTAAGTATGATACGGAAAATTGCCGAAACAACTGAAATCTAGTACAGGTATGAAAGTATCTAACAGTATAACTATGAACGATTACTTAAAAAATCACCCTTCTATCAATAATAAAAGTCAGAGTAATCAAGTGTGCTCCTTTAATAATAATTAATGCGATAGACATTTTCTTACCACACTATATTTATTATTTGGGAACATGGAATAACTGTTTTTTCATAAAATACAATTAAATATGTATTTAAAAAATAGTTTTTTTTACAGATTTGTGCCTGAGCAATCCCAAAAACCACTTCAGAGGAAACTTCAGGGATCCACAGCGTCCCTCTTTTTGAATAATTAATTCCACTTAAAAAAAAAAATCCACCAGCAGCTTAAGATAGATGTTAAGAAATAGTGAACTATACTATAGAAGGAAATGGGCTTCCAATACGTCCATTGTTATATAAACAAAGCCCTGATGTTACTTTATGTGACGGTGCACAGAGTAGGAACATTTTTTCTCTCTTCCTGTTATTGTCACCATTATATTTTTAGACCTGTTGGTTGAGCGAGTCGAGCAAGTCTTTAAACACATTGCTCTATATTTGTCGTTTCAGCATAAATGTATCTATGGTTTAAATATCCCTCTCAGGTCAGTCAGCTGAGAAACCTCCAACAGCTGCACATCAGATGTTAGTGAATGTTTGACTTTACTATCAGCTGTGAAGCCGCTTTGCATTTTGGGTAAATGAGCTGCTGCAGCTGACTGTGTAAAAAGTATTTGCGTGTGTGCAGTGGGAGATAAAGCAGACAGGAGGGGGGTGTGTGTGTGTGTGTGTGTGTGTGTGTGTGTGTGTGTGTGTGTGTGTGTGTGTGTGTGTGTGTGTGTGTGTGTGTGTGTGTGTCACCTCAGGGTGCTGTTGATGGCGCCCAGATTTTTGGCCTGTTCACACTCCGTCACGTCGGAGACCGTATCCGCTGGCTTGGAGTACTGAGACAAAAAACACTACAGCTGTTAATGCCATGTTTATAATAAGAACATGTGGATCTGAAACTGACATTAAAAATAGCTGATGTCGGTAAATCACAATCAGAATAGAGTGAAATTAAATAAATAAAAAATGTATACAATTGAAATATATTATTTTAAATGTATTATAATTGTACATTGTCATTCCTGTGTGTGGATCTGTAAAGCCCCCTAAGATAAACTCATGTTGTGATATTGGGAAACACAAATACAATTTGATAAACATAATTAATTTAGTAAAATGTCCAAAACAATATCAAAAATATAGAAAGACTTTTGTTAGCTGTCAAAAAATATGTTTTTCTGAATGAAATACAGTTCAGAATTGACGTATTTTAAATAAATGGAAACATGGAAATAATCAATAAAAAAAAATACTGAGATTCAACATTTAGACCACGCTTTACTACAATTTATTAAACATGGTACGGTCATGTAAGTCAACAAGTGATGTTTTTCTTTGTACTGTTTTCTGATTTGATGTACTATTTCTTTGAGCACCAGGAAAAGCGCTATAAAAATGAAATGTATTATTATTATAAAGCAGATCGAAGAGCTCTATAATTAGGTCATAAACTCAACTGAGTCATGTGTGAGGTCCAACATGGAGGCAGTGTATACGGCCACACTTTCAGAGATCACCAGAGAACCTTTATAGTCAGGGGTGCACATAACTTGTTTGCCCTGGTTCTCAATGGAGCACCTGGAGATGTTGCTTAGTGCTCATCCTTAAAATGAAATAAACCGTACATTTTGAGGGGGGTCTTGACTTTATTTGCCAGACACACGGCACTGAACACACATGCAGAGGTGAACACAGGACACACATGCAGAGGTGAACACAGGACACACGTGCAGAGGTGAACCAGGGCTCGACATTAAGGGCTGCCCGATGGCCATCTAGTATTTATCTCGGGCAATGAAGCCTCACCTGCTGGTTGCCCGATCGGGCAATCTATTATGCCAGCAGCTCGCGGATCCAGTAATGAGTGACCCGACAGTAAAACTAAACATATCTATAACTAGTTTAGATAGTTTGAGAGGTAATTCAAATAGCTAGGTGTGATATTCTAACCTGAAGTGTGTGTTTCGTTCCGCTCACCGCTGCATGTGATCATGCAGAGCTGCGTGTCGACTCTTCAGCAGCAGCTGATCTCTCTCTCCCGTCAGATTAGACTTCACTCGCGTTTATGTCCATATCGATCAGATCTAGCTAGTTCTAGCTAATGATATGACTACCTGCTTATTAAAAGACACCTAAACAATAAGTGTCGCTATGCAACTGGGTGAGGCCACAAAGTATAGCGCAGCATTATGCATTTGTTTACATGCCCACCGGAACCCCGAGGCATTAGCAACAGATCAACGCACAATCAACCCAGACAGGACATCTCTTTCTCCACATTAAGTGTTAGACATTAGAATTGACTATTCTTGTCTGTCACATACTCTTCTTGTCTGTCA